TTGATTCCAAGATATTCTGCTCAATTCCTGCCTGAGTTAACAGCAGCAATCTGCCATTCATGGAAAACTCAACCTCTACACACGTGATAAACCCTACAAGGCCCATGGGGAATTATTAACTAATCTCTTCATGGAGCTCCTTGAGTATGAGTTCCTTTGGAAATGAGCTGCCTCGCGAGAACACATATGAGGCCTTTATAAAGCAGACAGGGGGCCTTCTTATGGTGCAGTGATAGTGTTTGTACCCCTGGACTAGGAGGCCTGGGTTCAAGACCCACCTGCTCCATAGGTGTGTAATGACATCTCTGAACCAACTGGTCAGAAAAAAATAGGTCAATACAAAAAAAAAACTGCACTTGCTTGAGGCTTCTGAAAAGGGGGTCTCTTGTGGTTCAGTGGTAGTGTCCCTACCCTTGGACAGGGAGGCCTGGGTTCAAGTTCCACCTGCTTCAGAGGTGTGTAATTATGTCTCTGAACAGGTTGATTAGTAACATAGGTTATTAAGAAAAAAACAAAGATAAAGTAGACCCAGTAGGGCTCTTGTGGCACAGTGATAGTGTCTCAGCCTTTGGGCAAGAAAACTTGGGTTCAACCCCTACCTGCTCCAGAAATGTGTCACATAACATCTCTGAACAAGTTGACTAGGAGGAGATATACTTTCTCATCAGAGAGAGGGACGATTTTATTTTATTTATTATTGTCACATATACTGAGATATCGTGAAAAGTATTGTTTTGCGTGCTATCCAGGCAAATCATACCTGACATAAGTTCATCAGGGTAATAGAACAGAATGCAGAATATAGTGTTACAGCTACAGAAATGGTACGGAGAAAGATCAATTCTAATATATGACAGGTCCATTTACAAGTCTGATAACAGCGAGGAAGAAGTGGTTCTTGAATCTGTTGGTACATGTTTTCAAAATTTATATCTTCTGCCTGATGGAAGAGGGCGGAAAAGAGTATAACTGGCGTGGGAGGAGTCTTTGATTATGTTGACTGCTTTCCGAGGCAGAGGGAAATGCAGATTGATTCAATGGAAGAAAAGTTGCTTTACATGATGGCTGTGTTCACAACTCTAAGTTCTTGCAGTCTGGGACACAACAGTTGCCATATCAAGTCGTGATGCATGGGATAGGATGCTTTCCATGGTGTTTCGATAAAAATTGATAAGAATCATTGTGGACATGCTGAATTTCCTTGGCCTCCTGAGGAAGTAGAGGTGTTGATGTGCTTTCTTGACAGCTGAGGGACATCATCCCTCAGGTGAAGGACAAGGTTGTGAAAGTGGACCCTCCATGGTGACCTCAGCCAAGTACAGGGCACTACGGATAGCAGTGTATGTCTCATGTAGCAAATCAAATGGTGATGTGCATTTTCAAAATCAGACCCTCATTTTAAAAGTCCAATGAATGAATCAAAGGGAGTCATGGTACTTTCATTCTTTGCCAGTCTGGTGTACTAGTTGCATCTGAGTTATCCAAGCGTCACTACTGGGCAAGAAGAGCTAATTGTAACCACATAGTCAATGACTCATAGCCAGAACCGCACAGCATGCTTTCAATGAAAGCTGTATTGCCCCACAAAATATATCACAACAATTCGTTGGTGTGCAGAAATAATGTCTCCACCCTGCAGCTGTCCTGTACTAAGCAGCGGAGCATGTAGCAATATAAAGTGGTCTGCATCATGCTAATTTCACCTTCATGAAAGAACTGCAAACGTCACCACTGTGGGGAATAGCCCAGGAATAGGAAGATGGGGAAGTTGAGCAGGAGAAGGAAAAGGAAGATGTCACAGTCAGTTTATTTCTGGCTGGACGGTCCACAAAGAAATCCTCCAATTTTTATTACACAGACCAATTATCCATGCCACATTTTACCTTTACTTTGTTATTGACCATCACAACATTTGCTGGGTCAGAATGCAAAAATTAAAGCCACTTCAAAATAAACATTCCAAACTGAATAAATAAATCAAGCCATTCCCTGTTGCAGAGAATATTCAACCATCCTTGTGCATTCCTCAGTGATTGTCTTTTGTGTGCCTTTCAGCTTGCCTAGTTGTGCTCATTACTGTAGCCAGGATGGTGGAAGCTTGCTGATTTTCAATGGAGGAGCCTTTGAGTAGCCTTGGTGGATGATTAGGAGCAACTTTGGGCATAGATGGCCTGGCATTGGTTTGCATGACTGGCTGATGTGACTGTCATGGTCGAATAGCTAGCAGCTGCAAAAACTGTAAGATATGGGTATGAGGTTTGCAACATTTGCTAAGTGTGTGAGGTACAGTATATGAATGTGTGATTTGAGTCCTGAGTAATAGAGACTGTTGGTAAATGATGAGAATGTGGTGAACTGAGGCTCGTGATGCAGTCTGTAGGATACGGCATTTTAACTATGAATTCACTGATCTTAAGCACTCAGGTGAGGTCCTTCAACTGCTTGTGACACTGCACCTAAGATTTTGGGGCTTGTTTTGATTTCTATTGGTCACCATTCCCATTGCCTTTTTTAAGCATGTGTCTGGAGGGCCTCCTGGGTATAGAGGACATCTCTCCTCCTTTACACCTTCCCATCAAGGCCTCTGGTGCAACACTGCAAATCCTTGAAACCCATTCTCTAGCTGAGATGTCATGTTTTTGCCTTTTCCAGGTCAGTTTTTTTGAAGAAGTAACAAAGAGGATTGATGTGGACAGAGCGTGATCTTTATGGACTTCAGTAAGACGTCCAACAAGGTTCCTCATGGTAGACCCGTTAGCAAGGTTAGATCACATAGAGTACCGGGACATCTAGCCACTTGGATACAGAACTCGCTCAAGGGTAGAATACCAAAGGTGGTGATGGAGGGTTGCATTTCAGACTGGAGGCCTGTGACCAGCAGTGTGCCACAAGGTTTGGTGCTGGGTCCACTGCTTTTCTTCATTTACATAAATGATTTGGATGTGAACATAGGAGGTATAGTTGGTAAGTTTGCAGATGACACCGATATCGGAGGTGTGGAGAACAGTGAAGAAGGTTACCTCAGACTACAACTGAATCTTGATCAGATGGGCCAATAGGCCGAGGAGTGGCAGATAGACTTTAATTTAGATAAACGTGAGGTGCTGCATTTTTGAAAGGCAAATCAGAGCAGGACTTATACAATTAATGATAAAGTCCTGGGGGACGTTGCTTGACAAAAGAACCTTAGAGTGCAGGTTCATAGTTCCTTGAAAGTTGAGTCACAGGTAGATAGGATAGTGAAGAAGGCATTTGGTGTGCTTGCCTTTATTGGTCAGTGCATTGAGTATAGGAGTTGGGAGTTCATGTTGCAGCTGTACAGGACATTGGATAGGCCACTTTTGGAATACTGCATGCAATCCTACTATAGGAAGGATGTTGTGAAAATTGAAAGAGTTCGGAAAAGATTTACAAGGATGTTGCCGGGATTGGAGGGTTTGAGCTATAGCGAGAGGCTGAATAGGCTGGGGCTATTTTCTCTGGAGCGTCAGAGGCTGAAAGATGACCTTATAGAGGTTTATAAAATCATGGGGGGCACGGTTAGGGTAAATAGACAAAGTCTTTTCCCCAGGGTGGGGAAGTCAAAAACTGGAGAGCACAGTTTTAAGGTGAGAGGGGCAAGATTTTAAAAGGACCTGAGGGGCAACATTTTCATGCAGAAGGTGGTGCATGTATGGAATGAGCTGCCAGAGGAAATGGTGGAGGCTGGTACAATTACAACATTGAAAAGGTGGAGGCTGAGTATATGAATAGGAAGGGTTTAGAGTGATGTGGGCCAAATGCTGGAAAATGGGACAAGATTAATGTAGTATATCTGGTAAGCAAGGACAAGTTGGACCAAAGGTTCTGTTTCCGTGCCATACATCTCTATGACTCTATGAGATTTCTCTCCTAAAATACCTGCTTCAAGCAAAATGCCTTTAAAAAGGAACATGCCAGTTTCAGCAGTACAAGCTAACTTTTCTTTTGGTCCACCACTTAGAATCCCTGCTCATATTTCAACCAACTAGTAGAATAATTTGTACTGGTTGGACAGGGCAAATGTAAAACAGTAGGAAACACAGATATCACATTCATCCTGCACTGCACTCAACAGGCACAGGGTCACTGCATCAAACAATCCTTGGCCTGACTTTGGGGGCTATCCAATTTTTTCCCCACTAATGTTCACATCATTTGAACTAAACTAGGTAGGAGTACATTTAAGAATGCTGCTGGGGGGAGAAAAAGATTGCTGGATAAGATCAGCATCCCAGTTGGCAAATATATAAAATAGGTCAACTATCCATCAGGATTTGTTAAAATGACATTCGAGAAGGCCAGACTCTCCGATCAAGAATCCAGATCATTCTTTTAGTTTAATTTGTGGCCGCTTTCACAGGCAATGAGGACAGCCAGTTAGTCTCTATCAATAATAACAATTTATTATCTGTTAAAATATTCAGCATGCGTTTTCTCAATCAGTCATGATTATCTTTAATTGAGCTATCAGAAAATTTTCTACCTATTAGAAAGCAGGATTTTGAAAAACGTGATTGAACAATACCTGAAATTACAATCAAATACTGAAAGGCAACAATTACCATCCGTCATGACCCAGGGAAAAAAGGTGAACTGAAAAACTTGACCTGACATCTCATTCGTCAAATTACCTCGCCTGTCCTTAGTTGCCTGGTCCAGGATAATGGTCATCCATTATTATTTAATTAAAAAGCAAGGTCTTACAATGTCAGCAATTTACCAGGACAGATGTATACATATGTACCATAAAGATTCATGCAGGGAAGGTGAGGCAATGCATGCAACACAGTAGGATCTTCTGAGGAGAAGGTTAGGTATTGGACAAAATTTAGACTCAACATGACCTTTAAAACTGCAAAACCAATCACTTAGCTATCAGAGAAGTAATAAGAAGCATTGTCTTGACAAGAAGCAAAAACATGCAACAGATAAAATATTTGATACACAGCACACAGATAAAAACCACAATAAATACATACAGGAGTAGCACCTGATGGTACCTAAAAATAAACAGAAAAGAAGATTCACACAAATGAAAAACAGATTCCATGAAGATGAAATTTAAGTATGTATCCTCAACATCATCAAATCATCTTGAAGTGTAATAAATGGAATAGGTTCTGCAGTCCTTAGAATCTATAAAGACAGTTCACCTTTCAATATTATATAATGCAACAAAAACAAAGTTGCTGGAAAAGCTCAGCAGGTCTGACAGCATCTGTGAAAGA